GCCGACGCGAAGGATGAAAGCGGCGGCGACGACCGGCAATGCGGAGGCGCGGACGGGCGACGACGGCACCTTAGTAGAGAGCATAAAGGGGGTTAGGAGTAGGGAAGGCGACCACGGCGCACGCCATTGACGGCCGGAGGCGGAGGGGATGGGGAAGCTCACCGGCTTTCGGGGAGAAGGGGGCTCCGGCAGCGATTGACGACAACCAGGCGGCGACCGAGGTGCGGGCGGGCTTGGTGAGCGCGACGGCGGCGATTGCGCAGCGCGGCGGTGGCTCTAGCGGCGGCGGTGCGCGGCCGGAGATGGGCGGCGGCGGTGGAGCTCGGTGAGCGCGGTGCGGTGGCGGTAGGAAGCACTAGAAAGGGCGGCGAGAGTGGGAAACGAGAGAGGGGGCCCGGGGGAGGGTTTTTATGGGCGGGGGAGGGGCGGACGTGGCCGGGGAGGTGGCCGATTTGGCCGGCTATGTGGGGGAGTGGAGAGAGAGAGGGGATGTGATTCAAATCGAATCCCGCCCATTTGCGGGCGTGCGCGCAAGCGGGAAAAGCGGAGGAGCGGCGGACGACGATGTGGGCGCGGCGCGTGGACGCGGAGTGGGCGCGGGAGACGCAGACGGCGACGTGGGAGCGGCGGTTGCCCACCGGGCGCAGGCGGCTAGAGGAAGAAGACGGGGCCGATAGTTGGGCCCCACCTGTCGATGACCCGGAGGGAGGAGAGGAGGGGCAATGGGCCGGCCCGACAAGGAGGGAGAGAGGGCGCGGGAGGAAGGAAGGTTAGGCCGACGGCCCAACATTATCACGCCGTACATGGAGCCGGGGGCTTCCAATGCGACGCCTTCAACAAGGTCATGGCATCAAAGGATGCAGCTGTCACCATTCTAGACACCCGAAACCAACTTTTCACCTGGATCCCAATCTGAGTCCATCGTGACATCGCCTCTAGGGAGAGTGTGGAGCCCACAATCATCACCAATTTCGGCATCAAGCAGACCAAGCTCCCACGCGCTGGTACTGTCACCAAACCATCCATGGTCATAGTGCCCTACTCGCCTCGAGCTGTGGATCTAGCAACGAAAGGGGCACGATCGATGCTAGGTGCTAGGGGCGACACAATGACGAGTATGGCAAGAACACTCACAACGGGCTAGGTAATCCCGACGGCAACATACATCTTGCTGCGTCATGTGAAAGGATATGAGGAATTAATTTTTGTTTTCATCAATTCAATCAATAAGGATGGTGATGGTGAGATTTTGATTTTTACGGAGCAATTATGGGACATCACTACATGCTTGCGTAAATTCTTAAAGCCATCTAATAATGCCATAATCCAACTATCTTGAGTTCACTATAATACATCTTGTTTGGTGATTGAATGGCTTTAGCAGTTGTCATTTGTGTTTGAAGAAAATCGGTTTGATAGAATTTGAGCTCCCATTGTTCAACTCATGGAAGCAAAATTTCTCAAATACTTCACTGCTATTCCACATATTTAATTCTCTTGCTTTCATACTTGATCCTCACAAAAAGCTGGAAATTGTAGAGATTGCTAACAAATCAATGGGTGATGCAGTGGATCTTGATTTTTCTAAAGATTTTTTTGACACTTTCAACAGATAGGGTTTTTCGTCTATATCAAATGAAGTTAGGAGTTGTTCGCTGGGTGCCTGAGTAGATCAAGCACCTTCAATTTGTGCCTGAGTAGAACAACTCTCCTCTCTAGGCACCAGGTCAAACTTGAACCTATATACAGAACTTACCCACTACCTCAGCACCAATCAGGCAATCACACAAAACATGATCAAACGTTTAATGGCGGATGTCGATCTCCTTGGGTGGTGAAAAGAAAAACAACACACTATTCTTATCTTAGCTCACTTCACAAGTCTATTGGTTATGGCGTGTTCTATACCTTCATAGTAAGCATTTAACGGGATCGGAAGAATTATTGAAGAATGTAGGTCATGCCTTGCATTGGAGATAGTTGTGTAAATTGTTTTGCCCTTTAAGACTGGATGGCAGCAGATTGTTGAAGCAATGGCAGTGTTTGATGGATTTTGGCATCAATAATGATGACGAATGTGCCAATTAAAATGATAATGTATGTGATAAATTATAATCTATGTGATAGTGTAAGTCAGCTGTTGTACTTTTTTTTTTCTTACGGTGAAAGCTGTATTCTAGGGCATAAGTTTTTTTTTAATGAGACAATAACTTTGTATCCCTATTATTAATAAATTGCTTTCTCAAAAACTTTGTCTCAAGAATATGCAGTGGATGCCTCAAAAAAATTAGAGGGCAATAATTTATTTTCCTGCCTAATGATTAGATGCCGTAATCAAATCCAACACACAGTGATATCAGCACTTCGGCACGGGAAAAAGAAACTGATACTATCAATTTTCATTCTTGCTTCACCATGGAGGCATAGGCTGAAAGAGGCAGTGTGCGAGCAGGCAAGCAGCGAGCTCGTTGCCTCACGATAGCGGCCGCGCGGCGACACGCCTTCTCCACCGGGCCGCCCGGCGCAAATCCAAACACCGCTCCCGGTTCGCTCTGGTGTTGGTGGTTGGTGGATTGTGGTTTGAGTTTGGGAATGGCTAACTTGTCAACGAATCCAATTTTCGTGATTCAACCGAAAAACCATATATAACTGGTCTATCAACTATTAAAACCGGTGCAGACTAGGTCCCTCGACGATTTATATAGCGGTTTTAGCTGACGTGGTGCTTACGTGGCAATTCGATTTGGAAAAATAATAATACCCGTGGGACCTACTTGTTAGTTTCACACACCAAATAATAAAAAATGGTGGGGCCTACATGGGCCCCACATGCCATCCTCAATCCCCTGCGGCTGCTGCTGCTCTTCTTCCTCTGTTCTTCGCGGCGCGGCTCCTGATGGAGTGGGATGGGGGGAGTGGCGTGAATGCCGCCGCGGCGACGCTATGGCGGTAGACTTGTGGGAGGAAACCTTCTAGCTAGCAGCGGAGGCAGAGGCGAGCGGCACCTCTCCCTTCCATCGGAATAAGATGCTGGAGTTTGAGACCGACGCCGACGCGGCGCGGCGCCCATGGGAGCGGAGGGAGGCGGGAGCTCCGGAGACGGGGGTCGTACGGAGGGGCGCGGAGCGGGGTGCGCATGGAGAAGGGGGAGCCCCGCTGGGGGTGGGGGGGGAGGGGAGCCTGCTGCAGGGTTGCCATGGATGGAGGTGGGGAGGGAGACGAGTGGATTCGCCATGTCTCGACCGCTCTGCCCACATCCCCTGGTGCCGCGACCTTCCGCATGTCCCGCCCCAGCGTCGACTACCTCTGCGCTGAGCTCGCCGTGTGCATCTAACACCTTGTCATGGGGGAGCCACTCCGCAACAGGACGTGGTGCTTCCCGGCAAGCCATGGAGCTCGGGGAGGGACGAAGGATGCCAGGAGGAAGAGGGGTGAAGGGCGGCGAGCGGATCCACAGCCTCCGCTCGAGGTCGTCGTCGCCTAGCTCCTTCCTGCTAGTCATCACCCTTCTCCCCGATGGCCGCCGTCTACCGCCCTTCTTCCCTCCAGCCGCTGGCCGCCGTTCTTCTCTCTCTTCGCGCGCGCTCGCTGGCCATCCACTTCCGCCGGGAGGCCTCTCCGCCACCCTCGTTGGCCTCCCCTCGTCCTCCCTCTCCACTATCTCATCTCCAACTCGTCATCTCCCGGTGGGGCGGCGGCGTGTGGTGCTAGTAGTCGTCGTCGTCGGGCAAGGAGGGAGAGGGGGCCTTCTTGCCACCGGCCTGCTCCGACCACCACCCAACCTGCTATGCTTGCCGAGGAAGGGAGAAAGAGAGAAGAAGGGAGAAACAGAGAGGATAGAGATGACATGTGGGGCTACATGGGCCCTACCTTTTTTTTCATTATTTTGTGTGAAACTGACATGTGGGCCCCATAGGGTTCATTATTATATTTGGATCAAATTGCCACGTAAGCGCCACGCAAGTGCCACGTCGGACGAAGACCTAGTCAAACAATATACGTAGGCGCCATATTGGTCAAAACCGGGGTCAAATACTGCCGAGGGATCTCGATTGCACGGTTTTAAAAGTTGGAGGACGTGCTGTACCCGGTTTTCCTGTCTAGGGACGAAATTAACTGAGCGACAAATTAAGGGACCTAGAGTGAACTTATTATATTCCCGGCCGGCATCAAGTGGACCGGCACATGGGCCGTGCTTGGGCTGGCCCAGCCCATCGGATTATTAGGCCGTGCTCGGCCGGCGTCTCTGAGGAAGGCGGCAAGTCGGCAGTCGGCGCGACAAGCTCGGCACAGCGTGTGCATCCACAAGTCGGAATTCCAATGTGCATCTGAGGCTAGGAAAACATAAGGCACTACTGCTACTGTGCTACTGTCCTACCGTGCTGTACCTTGCGTAGTTGCGTGGGAGCAAGACGTATCCCCAAAAAACAGGATGGTATACAAAACAACCCTAAGATGAATCCAAAATCTGAAACTAAATATATATTTCGAAACGACTGTATACTCCCCAAATTCCGTCATGGCGATGGCACTGTTCTGCTTAGGGATTAACTAACGATCATCAAGTGCACCTAACAGCCGTACGTACATAGCTGCCAATTAATTAATCCTTCGTCCTCACCATCCAAAATGTTTTAATTAACTCCTGCACGCGTACGTACGTACCCTGTGCCGGATGGCACAGTACGATCGAACCCCATACCATACGCTTCCAAAGAGAAAGCAGTCGCTTCTTGCTAATCAAATCCATCATGAGAGACACGCTCCGCTGGACTCTCTCGTCCTCTAGCTTCACATGCGATGTTAGGCGTCCTGTCGCTGCCTCAGTTGCTTGATCCTACTCTTTCTCCATAAAAAAATAAACTAATTCTGAGTTTCAACCTAGACACATATATATATCCAGATTTAAACTAAAAATTAGTTTTTTTTTTTGACGAAGAGAGTAGCTCTCGCTCTTCTCTCTCCCTGCCCTCAACCACCACCACCTCCTCGATCCAGTACCCTCCAATCCAGTCCCACCTCCTCTTAAATACATAGCTAAACAGCACAAAAACCACCCCATTTTTATTCGTCTCAGCTAGCTAGCAGCTAGCCCAAGTACTGACATACAGTATGAAGCTGATGCTCCTCTTCGCCGCCACCGTCGTCGCCGCGGCGTTGGTGCTGGTGGCGGCGGTGGATGTCGGCAGCAGCGGCGCCTTGTTGCCGATGCACGTGCTGCGCGGCCGGGTGGCTGACGTCGAGGACGTGGTGGCGAGCGTGGTGGAGGAGGAGGAGGCAGCGTACCCGCGGAGGAGGATCCTCTACGACAGCCGGTACGCCAGCTACAACGGGCTCACGGAGAGCAAGGCGGCGTGCTACGGCTCCTGCCCCGGCAGGGGCCAGCCGTACAGCGGACGCAGCTGCCTCAACATCTACCAGTGCAAGGGCTAAAAGCTTGGAGAAATTAAAGCTGCTGGTGATATGATCGATCGATCGATCCTCTGCAATAATTCTGCGTCTGTACTGCAGGGGAAGATATGTTCAAACTAACTGTGTTGAAATGATACTGGTGAATTTGTATGCTGTTGATGACTTTGTGTTAGTCGATCACTTCATATATGTAATATGTAGTTAAGTGTTGTATCCGATTCACGTACGCTCGTAGTTAATAGCTAGTTTGAGCGTTAGATACAATTAATATCCGGCCTATACGATTCATTGTTGTTCGATGAATTACTGGGACGAAGAAACTGATTAATCGATGAATAAAACAAAGGTTTGCATCTGCATAGAAGTTACACGGTGGATGATCCTCAAAAGCAATGTATCCTGACATAGGGTTAAAACTGGTACGAATAGTTTCCGTCCATCCGGACCATTTTTCGGATTTGGATAGGTTCGGTTGGAACTATCTGGAAATTACTAGATTTGGAAACGAATTCAGATTTTTATTCTCGGAAACAAAAATAAATACAGTAAGGGTACTATCCGTCGTAATCGGAAAACGGTCGGAAACTATCTGGGAATTTTATTCGGATATCTGCAGACATGGATCAAATTTTAGAAAAACCACGTATGTATACTTAAACTTTTTCATAGGAGTCAGATGATTAACTTCATATCAAAATTGTAGAGCTGCTTGATGAGATCTACAGCTTTCTTGCTGACTAAATAAAAGATCATTTAAGGGTCTAAATATTCATTGTCAAATACCAAATTTATTTTTAAAAATCTTAGATCTACAATTCAAACGGCATGTGATGGAGATGTGTTCCATATCAAAGTTGTAGAGCTCAATGAGATCTACCACTTTGTAGTTTATAAAATTTGTATTTGAAAATGTTTAAAGTATAAAACAGACACTACACGTTTTGAAGATGTGAAATAAAATAAAGAACATATCCATTTTATACATCAAGAACTTATGATAAGTGATATGGTAAGTAAGCTATATATACAGTAAAAAGTCTTGGGAATAGAAAATGAATAATCATATTTACATGTTGGTCTCTTTGCCATGAAAATCAATTTTCACATACGGTTGTAGGACCATCTACAAAATTGACGATATAAATTTTGGAGAAACTCAATTTGAGGGGATTTTAATATACTGGCAAATATTCGTTACTTATTCGTTCTGTTTCGTATTCGCTCCGTATTTGAATTCGATAATATTCGATTTCATTTACGTTTCCGGTTTTCGATTTTGATTCTGATTCCAAAAAAAATGAAAACGAATATGATAAAGCTAGTTTACGTCCGTTTCCGATCCGTTTTCATCCCTACCCTGACATGTCACAACGGCAACTGTGTTCTCCCTCTATCTCGGTTCTGCTTCAATGTCATCGACAAAATTCCCCTCGAACCTTCTGCATGCAGTTCTGCAAAAAATAACTAAATATATAATTTTTAGATAGAACTAGAAATATGTAAATAAATGATGGACAGGTCTTCGTGCCTATAAACATATTTAGCCAAAAAAAGAAAAAACGATATGTCTGATACAGAGAATATGAGAACTAAACAATAGTATCTTTATATTTTTTTTCTTGTGGACACACAAATGGCCCCCATACCTATATATTCGAAGGACCTTGGAAAGAAAGTATATTGGAAGCACGGTGCGAACACAAAAAAGAAAAGAAACACAGTGTGAACAATTTCCGACAATTGTTGTCCCCATACACAATCAGAGCGCGCCTATTAAGTATAACTAGGAAGGTAGCCCGCGCGAATGCGCGGGCATGCGCCTTACGCTAAGTTTGAGACACGTACTTATAGTAGCGAAATATTAACCGGAGAACACATGCCACGATTTCTTCGTTGTTTTCATCGGCATTAGTTGTTTTTATAATTTTCTAACCTATTAGCTTTATATTATATCATATTTAAGTGATATCTATAAGCAATTATTTATAATCTTCTTCATCATTTGAAAATATATGGTAGACTAATTTTCTTTAGAAAACATGTCAACGAAAATAAAAGTAAGTGTAAAGTAAAAGTAAGGTTTTTTAATGCACATTTATTGTCATGGTTTATTAGAGAATAAATTGGATGGGACATGAATCTCCACTAAATTTTATATAGCCTAATATGATTGATGTAGTTTGATAGGCGATCCATCTATGAATATTTCATGTAGAGTGGGTAAGAGGTTCTATGCAACCTAACCTGAATACAATAATGATAAAATATAATTGCACAATAATATTTTAAAAATGTGATGTACCATAAATACACACTTGTTTTTCTTAGAAATAATGGTTCCCCAGGTTTAAAAGGCATAGGAGTATTCCAGAAATATAGCTTAAAAATTATGGTGTTTTAATATCCAACATTATTGCGAAGTGGACGTAGCTCAACTGGTTAGGTTACTTGTGGTAGAACTTACCCACTCGGGTTCAAGTCCTAGACTGATAAATTCTTTCAGTGGTAGATGACATACCCATTGACAGTGGGGCGCTCGTGGTGGCATTGTCAATCTCAAAATATGTGGGTCCAGTAAGGGATGTGCGTGTGTGCCCTCATAGGTGTGAGTGTGCGTGTTGTGAGCGCCTGCGTTTGTAATTTGTTTCTCAAAAAAATATCCAACATTATTGATTGTTTCTCTTTTATTTTAATAGATAAAAGATAGGGAGGAGACGAGCAATGTTGTGTGCGTGTGAGGGCGAGGAGGAGGCGGAGGATATTTTATTTTTCTAATATTTCTAAATGATTTAAGTGAAAGCCGATGATATGGTGTTTCATTTTTCTAAGAATTTTATAAGGTTATTTCTGTTTTTTATACGACGTGACATATGGTGACTTAAGACTTTTTTAAAAAATATATTTAATAGTTAAAAATAATGGATACGTCAATTTATTTGGGTTTTCTTAGAATTTTAGGGCATGATATATGGTGTTTTATGAGCGCTCTGGAAGGCGTTTAATTGATTTTTGTTATGTACAGTGATTATTTAGTATAACGTTACATATGTTCATTTAATTTTTGTTGTTATTTACTTATCAGGTAAATGAGAGGGTCTACCCTCAAATGATATATTTTAACTTTTATATAGTAAAATATAGCTAGTGTGATCTTGATTTATTATTTAGTTATAAATAATACAATAGCTATGACTATTTCTATATTATGTTAGTTAAAAAAAAGTAGTAAAGGAGATAATGGAATTGGAGAGGAGAGGATGAGAGAGTCATAGGGGAGGTTAGAGGTGTACGTAAAGCAGGAGAATGGGAGGATATTATTGTTTTTAAGATAGATTGAATAGGTCCTAGTTTTGAGTTATCTATTTTTATAAATACATTTAATCTTAGATCTTTTAGAAAATACTTTGGGTATTATATTTTTTAATTAAAGTACTTCATTTTTTTAAATTGTTCTAATTTAAGTGTATGTTATTAACCAAAAGGTTTAAAAATCTATTTGATTTTTTCTTTAAAATGTATAGATCAGTGAACAATAGCTAGTCAGAGTAATGAATTTTAAAAAAAAGAGTAATGAATTTTTTATAACATAGTTAACTTGGATCTTCCATTTTAAGTTTTATAGTAAATAAGATATTGGTGTGCACCAATAAAAAGTTAGCTATATGATTTAAATAATATAGTTGTTTAAAATTCTTTATAATAAAATATTTTTTCCATCTGACTAAGAAAGGAAAATAGGTGAGAAAAGAAATAGGTGGGGAGGTACTACGCACAATGGGTCCACCGTATATTAGTGAAAATTGACAGCGAAATGTTTTGTTTATTCTTATAATTTTTGTGATTTTTTTAATTTATTAAAATGCCATTTGACGGCGTAGGAGCATTTGTAAAAGTACTGCGTGGCAGCTTGAAAGCGTTTATAGGATGTTTAAGGGACAAAGAGTTAAATATGCTTTCATGTGATAATTTTTAAATTTAAATATAGTTCATATCAAATGTAATCATAATATTTTCACTATACACATCTAATTTAGATAAGTTTATTAGAGACGGATGGATGTTGCTTGTATGTATAAAGATTCAAATTAGAAAACAGTGCATAGTATGTATGTACCCGGAGGATTTTTTTGTACAATCCGGTGGATAGTAGTACATATTTATTGTACAAGTGAAAATATTTTTTATTTTTTTTGGGTGAACAGCACATACGTACGTTTCTCTCGTAGCAATTACGTGGGACTGTCAACTGTAGCAGTGCTAATCCTTCTTTCTTAATCGTAATTACGTTTTTTTTTCTTTTTTGCGGTGAGTAGCAAAGTACGGTAGGACATATATATGCGTACTATTCACGGGATTTTTTCTACCGGCGAGGTTAGACGGGATGTATTTTAAATAATTCTAATCTAATGGTTTGAAAATAGTAGGTTCACCGAATTAAAATCGAGGATTGGATATTTTTCTTTTTTCTCAAAATTTATATGTTTTTCTCTAATAAATATTACAGACAGCTTGGTAGTGCTTCTAGAAGTGATCTAATATATATTTTTTTCTTTATTATAGATAAGATAAATATGCAGTGTTTTAAATAGTCATTTAAGGATTGATCGTTGTTATTCCAGATAGTATGTATGCCTGTGTATGTACAATTCTCTTTGTTGTTTTTGTCAAATAACGAATAGTGTACTTTTTTTTTTTGCTTTTTTGGGATACTTACAGATGTTTATTTCCCGGGCCCTTTTTCTGTTGGGTCAAGCATACGTATATACGTGGGCTGATAAGCTGAGGGGTGGGGATAGCAGGGAGAAGGAGATGGAAAGATTTATAGAGATAAATATAATAATAATTAAAAATAGTGGGTCCACCGATTTATTTGGTGCCACATGGCATTTTAGGAGTGTTTGTAGGAGTACCACGTAGGAGCGTTTGTAGGAAGTTTAATGGACTTTTAGTATATAATAGATAGATAGATAACATGCTACATGCTTAAATTTTTTTTAAAAGTAATACAATTTTAATGGAAAATTATAAAAATATAGGTCTGACCTATACTAATAAGCTATTATCTCAGCCCATCATGGTGAAAAAAGTCTTGGCCTATAGGCTTTTCAACCCCAAGCCCAGACATTAGCACTACTGCGTCGCAGATTCTGCTTTGACTATGGTGGATGAAAGAGGGGCAGCTGGAGCGAAGCAGCCGTGGGATAGAATAAGGTGGGAAGGGAGATGGGCCGTGGGCGAGTAACGCAGGGTGAAATGGGCCACACGAGACTTATCACTTTGCTTGTCTCCGGCGTTGGTCAACAAGTATCTCCGGACGATTTTGCTAAACATCTCCCGCGTGATTTTTTTCCTGGCATTT